TATGGTAACCCTATTAAAAGTCAGTGTGTTTTTAAAATTTCACTGCAGATCATATGTATCAGTGCTATTTTTTTTGTTCTGCTCTGCTGAAAATGTCCCCTCTCTTCTCCCTCCCCCAAAATCTAAGGAATTTTATATTTAAGTCGCTCTTTCCAAATGCTCAAATGATACAGCAAGTCATTGTCCCCTGTTTTGAAGCACTGTATGTCTAAATAAAAATTGCTACTCCAAACAATGTACTGTAGGCATCCATTCAAGAAAAAAAAATTTGTCTGAAAAAATGGGAGAATGTGAGATTTTTCTAATCGTGACTCTGCTGTAGAATAACCTTGAGCATGAAAATTCAGTTGTGTAATCTGCTGTTCAAGAAAAGTAGAGTGGTCCCTATGGCAACCCCGCATCACATGATCTCTGTTTCTGAGTCCCTACTAGGAAAGGCATTTCTTGAAAGAAGAGTTATATTATAAATATAGATATTAAAATGATTTCTTCTGTCTTATAGTATTTGCCAGGAGAGTATTTTTTCCTTTATGAAGTACACTTTTCTGTTTTGTAGGGAAACTTTTGTTTATTTGTTCTGGTACTCTGCTGTACAAAATCAGATATCCCATCTTTGTGGTAATGCAGCATTTTAAATTCATGTCTTCAAGAGGGAAACAGCAGTCCTGTTCCTCACATGGATGCTAAAGGGGCAGATCCCCCATCTGCTCCCCCTCTCCTGCCAGGAGCACATGCTCCCCACAACTCTAGATCTCCTCCCACCCACCCACAGGGGAAGATTTGATAAAAATCCATTTCCTGTTCAAAGGAGGATCCATTTCCCTAAGACAGTTGTTATTTTGACCTTTGCATGGATTTTTGCAAAATTTAGAGAGTCAGTTAAGGCCGGATGGGCCACGTTAGCTGAGTGGGGAAATATTATGTGGTGGTGGGGAACAGGCTCGATCTCTTAATTGGTCATCTCCAAACATTCTAATGTTTGAGTTTTTTAAAGGTGAAGAAGTTTTTTAAATGTAATTATGTTTTGGGGCGCTAGCTGGACTCCATTAAAAGATTATTTCAGCCATAATTCTTTTATAATGGCATTTTTTGTTTGTGAATATTAATAGGGTATTCATGCTGAAGTTTATTCAACAGGGGAAGTGATCTGCTGGGGCCATGGACATAGATGGAACACTGCTGGCAGAGTAGAATTTGAATTCCTATTTATTGCCTGGACAAGCAGCAGCTGATCTAATCCACTGCCAACTGTTGCTGCCCACCTGAGCCCCAGATCTGATCTCTAACCCACCCACTCAATCTGCTGCTCCTTCCTGTATCCCTAGACCTGGTACGAGACGCCTGCCCTCTCTACTCCTTCTGAGTGAGTGGCAGAGGGTTTGAGCATCATTCCTGTGAAACAGTGTGACAGACAGAGGAACACACATGGAGAGAGCATAGTAATAGACTGAAGCCTTTTAAAAAACAATCTTACTTTCCACATGCCACAGCAGACGATATGGTGGGAGGGGGTCAGAAAAAGCGGTCTAGCGCTGAAGGAAGGGAGAAGGGGTCTTGGCTCCCAGCCCACCTTCTTGCTGGCCATCACAGCTGAGCCTGTGTTGGCAGTGGGTGTTGGTGATGGTAACTGACTGGTGGTATGGGCCAGTATCAGCTTACGTCCATTCCAGAAGAAAATTGTGACTCCGAGGATGGAGCACAAGTCCCACTGAAAGTCAGTAGAATTTGTGCTTCTAAATCACTGAGGTGTATTTAAAACTCCTATTCTGAGCCACAATGCCTCTTGGAGCCCCGCTTACCCACCACCCACGTCATTTTAGCGCTTAACTTTTTTCCACCACAATATCTTGCGAGGCTTAATTAATGTGTGTAAAGTGTTTGGAGACTTTGGATGAAAGGCCCTATAGATATGCATATTATTATTATTTCTTTAATCAGAAATGTCTATCTTTTTATCCCATGATTGCATGTTGTATGGAATATTTAACAGAGGGAAAGTACCATAGCTACAACAGGTAGTTACCTCCTGTAAAAGGGAATAGTTTCTACCACTGTGGACTTCAAGGAGACGTGTAGCACTTTGGTGATTCAGCAGCCTCAAAAGCCAATCATAGCCTTTGACTTGACTGTTTTGTGGATGTGCTTAACCTTTTAGAACACTGGTTGTCAACAAACCATAGAAATAATGGGCCATACGTTTCTGAGAGATTATAGCATACTTTGGGTAGTGGTGTAGATCAAGTGACTTTAATTGCCCTGCAATGAATTGTCAAGAATGTCTTATTGCTGTTATGAAAATAAGTTTATGATGTATAGAAAATTAAGGATAACAGTCAGAAAACTGCTTTTATTAGGTCATCGGTGACATGCATGTGAGGTCACAACCAGTAAAAAAAGCTTCTAGTATGTCCAAACTTGTATAGCCAATTTATGATGATTTCCTATACAGCAGTGAGAAGTGTGTTTGTCTAAAATGGTTTTAATAACATACATCTTCATTAAGCCTTATGTTTAAATAATAACTGCGCAGTGACACTGTTTTACAAGGCAGTTGTGCAGTTGCAGAGCGTGTACTCTCTGAGGTCTAAGGCCAACTAATTTTATCCCAACAAGGAAACTGCATCATTGGCATATGAAAGCAAAGCAAACCGTTCTGTTGCTAGTGTTATCCTGCAAGTGTTTGTGTTGTTGAATCTAGTAGTTACATTTTTTTTGTAAATTTCCCATTGGGGATGTAGTTAGAAGTCAAAGTTTCTTTATCTCTTCTTGGGTAAACTGAAGAGGAGAACTGGAGAAGGGAGATACAAGATCTGTCGGATCCCAGTGAGTAAGAATTTAAATCTGAGATATCGTGGGTATTACAGCCATTTGTATTTCAAATTGATCTAATTTCCAGGATGCTGACATCATTCTAGTGGCCCTGTCAAACAGATTTATTAAAACACACATAAACATCAAACTCCTTCTATCAGCGAGAGGTGTCAGAGATGACTGTAAGCCAGCCAACGTTGCGGCAGTATGTGTTTTCCACATAGCTTGAACAATCAAATGCAGTCCTGCTTGTTAAAGCTCTGTAGAAAGCAGATATTACTGAAGCTATGTCTGGCTTACAGTGATTTTGTTTGCAATTAAAATTGCTAAAATCACTTGAAAGAAGAGCACTATGTCTATATAGATTGAGTAAGAATTTTCCAAACACTGTGTTCCTGCTTTCTAACTGAAGGATAAAAGTCATAGACTTAAATGGTTTCATCATTCAGTTAGCGAGAATTCAGAGGTTTATTGTGAGTCAGACATTTTGAGAGAGAAAATAAAATGGTGGACTGGATGTTTATTTCCTGTTGATAGTGCTAGTAGGGCTAAATTCGTCTCTGTTACACAGTTGTAAATCCATAGTAACTCCACACACTTCAGCAGAGTTACTGTGGGGTGACACTTAAATAGGATTTTGCCCTTAGTACAGAAATGGTAGGATTTTGTTATTTAAATACATCTTTTTTTTATTTTGTGGTGAATTCAAACAATTTTTGTAATGAAATTTCTAACATAGTGGGTGCGTATTTTAGTATTTTTAAAAAAGCATGTAGGAAGAATTTGATGCTGCTGAGAATGAATGATACTATCCCATTCTAGTTATCCATAGAGCAGTTTGACTACCAGGACAATTGGACTGCATCTAGTAAGAGTTCTGACTGGAAAAGAGGCTCTTCATTTAATAGAATTAAAGCTGTTTTACTCCAGCAACTGACTAATGCCATGACATAATGTCTTGGCCCACTGTTAGCTTTAGAAATCCCTGTTTAAAGCCATATCAAGTCAGACTCATTTTTCATTTTCAAAGCATTTTATAAACATTAACTATATCACCTGGGCAATATAGTCATACCTCAAAACCTGCCAAAGACCAAATATGAGCTGCAACATGGGTCAAAGTCCCAGAATGAGTGAGACAAGGAGAACTGTGGTGTAGAAACTCAAACTATTGAGTGATTGATTTCTTTGACATTTCTGTACAAAATGAGTTTCAGCATTCAACCATTCTGATGTAAATAATATACAATTAGAATAGTGAGAGAATGTCAGGTTGTTGTAAGACTAAAACGTAGATGTAAAATAAGTGAGGGATAGATAAGGGGTATGATCAGATGTGAATTATTGTTTAGCTCCAACACTGAAGTGTTGGGAGAAGTAGGAGAATGGTAATGGGAAACAAAGCTTTTGTTTACAGTTCACCATTTCAAATTCTGCTAAGAGTGAGCTAGAGTGTCTGAAAGTTACCACCTGACAGCTTTTGTGTAAAATGAGCAACTGTCCACATCACAAAACCCTACTCACTACAGTTTGCCTCACTGGCCCTTATTGGAAGTCTGGTCAAGGACTGAATAGGCCTAAACACCGAACAACCTCCTGATCCCTAAAAATGGCATATACCTTTTGAACAATTAGTACTGGCTAATAATTGATAGCATCTCATCACACAATCTATGCAATATTGGGTACTGAATGAAGATATTCCTGCTCTTGTCATATTGTTTTGTGTAATACTTTGCTTTAGGTAGAATTTATTATTTATGACCCCCTTCATGTTATGTAAATTATCAGTTTAATTTGCCCACATAACAATTGTGCTCAAAATTCGGGGTGGTCCTAAACCTAGAGCTAAACTCATGAGCTGAATCTGAAATCTGAAAAGTTTTCATGGGCCGCATCAGTACTCTGGATCCAAATTCTCCTGTTGAACTTGAGAGTCTGAAATCCAGATCTGAATCCAAATTTTCTCAGAGTAGTGCAGGAGAGGGGGGCGGGGCAAGGTTGAAGTTAGGCCTTTCCTAGAGATGAGTTTGAGCTGTGAACTTGATACAAATCTTGGTCTATGATTTAGATTTGGGGTGTTGGTTCAGGCCCATCTCTGCTTTGCTCTGTTTGGTTCTTAGAATACTTCACTAGGCTTCTATTCCATTTGTTTCTCCAGGTGTGATGAGTACGTCACACAGTTGGACGAGATGCAAAGACAGTTGGCAGCTGCAGAGGATGAGAAGAAGACCTTAAACTCTCTATTGCGGATGGCTATCCAGCAAAAACTTGCCCTCACCCAGCGACTGGAGGATTTAGAGTTCGATCATGAGCAGTCCCGACGCAGCAAAGGCAAGCTTGGAAAGAGCAAGGACAGCCGCTCTAAAGTAAGTGAGGAAGCATCAGCCACCGTGCCAACCATAGACACTTTCCTCCTGCATAGTCAGGGCCCACAGCAACCAAACTTACTGGTCAGCAGTGGCACTCAGAGGAAAAGGTATGCATGCGGTGATCTTTATAGTACAGTGCAGTGGCCAGACTTTAGTTAAAGTCATTCACTGAATTGTAAACAGATTATTATTATTATTATTATTATTTATTTTGGTTGGGGAGAAGGGAGAGGGGTGGATAAAAATAGTGGCTGATCGAAACTCAAAGCCTGGCTAAGTGTGTTTCTGATTCCATCTACCCATAATGTTATCTCCTCCTTTTTACTATAGTTTTAGACTATATTCTGTCAGTGTTTCAGTCCACCTTGTATGTCCTTTTAAAGTGAGTTAAGGTTTTGCACACAGCAAAATAACCTCCAGAAATTAAAAAAAAGCTATGCTCTGTGAGCATGTCAATGCTTTTTTTTCAAAACAAACCAACAGAATCTGTCTGATATGCTATAGTGCTTGCCTCTGTCTCCTCATGAATGGGAGAAGGATATGGATGTGTTCACTCGGATGAACTTTTCTGCATATTCAAAGGGAATGACTGCTGTTTATAACCTAAAGCAGATGTTCTCGTTGTTCAAGCCGTGAATTCTCATGTTGTCTTCTGACTGTCATGCCAAAGCTGTGTAGTTGTGGAGATGTCAATGGTTCTTCCATTAGAGAAGTGTCCTGGATGTTCATTCCCTTTCCCGGTATTTTCTGGTCACAATGCAAAGGATAAGAAAATGTTCAGGGAGCCCATTAAATGCTGAATATAATGATCAGGGGGTGGGAAGGAGGGTGGAGAATAAATAAATAAACCTCATCTCCTCCTCAACTATGAAAAAGCATTTCCGACACAGGCAACATGCCGTGTTGTGGAAACGATAGGAGGTGGCAACACTAGCTGGTTTTACCTGTTAAACAAATTAGCATGCTGTTGTCATTCATGAGGCATTTAAAGATAATTAAAGTAAAACTCTTTTGTTTCCATATGTATTTTTCTTGGATCTCCTGCAAGACTATTCTCACCTTCCCCTTGTGATCAGAGCCATCCCAGGACTTCAGGGACCTACCTACAGAATATATTAAGAGCCCCCCTTGATCCCACCTCCACAGAATCATTTCTTCTGAGGGGCCCCCCTTCCATGAGTGAACTCATCCATGAGTACCGTCTCAGCAAGGAAAAAAGGTTAACCGTGGCCATACCAGGTAAACATTTTTTCCTTGGGTGCATGTGGTGCAAAGTGATTAGCAGAATAGGGGACCCCAAAACTGCACACACAATATAATTTGGGCACCTTCTGTCAACTTTAAAATCAAAACGTCCTCTCCTATGTAATCTGTTGCAGCTGCTGGCAGAACGTCAGCTCCCACATGTACAAAAACTGGTTCTAGATGGTGTGGGACAAGTTAATCCATTGTGTAAGTGGACACAACTCACATTGGCATCCACAGGAGTTGCACCCAGTTACACCAGGGCTGAATTTGGTCCAGTGCCTCTTTTGTTAGCCGGTGATGAAAATACAAACTGAAAGTGAGAGAGGAATTAGGAGTTCAAAAACACTCACTATAGCATATAGTGGCTGGAAATAGGCAAAGACCAACAGTAGTATCTGTGTCCTGCTTGTGCTTGGCTACTTAATGGAGTTTTTTAAAGGTAAAACTTAGAGAGAATTTTTTCACTTGACCAGAGCTCAGAGAGCCGTTATTAAGCTCCCAAAATATTTATTTTATGTAAATTGATTCATGGGGTCCATCTTGCCAGGAAGCTTTCCTGGTTCCTAAGGTCATGTCATTGTACTCTTCATGGTGGGCAAACTAATAATTGCTATTTTTCCTCAGAAAGCAGTAAGGATGGTCTGTGACTGAGCAGTGCTTTTAGCCTATTAACATGCACACTTTTGATTGTCAATAGATATGTTTAACTGTTTGCTTTGAAGCTTGCCAAGCAGAAGAAGCCCAAACAGAAAATGTAAGAGGTAAAGACCAGACTTGTGGCATCCTCTGAAATAAATAAAATACCTGCTATAAGAAAACAGCATAATATATCAGAATACACTATATCTCCCTTAGTGAAAGCAATACCACAGCCGGCTTAAAGTAGTGTGATTCAAATGACACTGGCTCATATACCAGATGCAGAACTGTAGGAAGCCTGAACAAAGCAGACACCCATAAGATTCTACTGTCAAAAAATTGAATGGCTGACTGATGAAGGCAGCAGCTAAGAAATGACAGCCTTGCACAGCAAATCATATCTGTCTATCATCAGGAATTCCTTTCAAATATTCCCACTGCATTGCTCTAGGAGCACCTTATGGGGTTACTTAGAATAAACAATCAGTCCTTACCTGATAGAAGTGATTATTTCAATAGGAGCATATTGAAGCAGTTATGTCAATATTTCTCATAATTTGGAGGAAAGGGTAGTAAGACGAGATCATGTGTGTCTATAACTACCCTCTAGACAGGAATCTGTTAAACAAACACTGATGATATCTGTTGTTTCTTCCTCCTCTTAGAATGGGGTCATGATCACTATTTCCGGGAGCCACTTACACACCACTAAAGAAACTGATCTTGCATTATTTGCATACCCAGAACTCCCAATTTGAAATCAATGGGAGGTATGGGTGCACTCAAATATTGCAAAAGTAGATTTTTGTAAAGGAGTTTCTTTTGTTAATGTAGAATTTACAAGATTCATAGATTTTAAGGCCAGAAGGGGCCATTACAATAATCTCATCTGACCTTCTGCATAGTAGAGGCCAAATAACTTGTTGGTACTTGAAAAGCAGAAGTGTTCCATTGATAATAAATGCTTTTAGTCAAACAGTGCACTGTAGGTGCACCAGCATATCCTCAATGACTATTAGGTTCTTAAGACAGTATTATATATTCATGTATTCCTTTTCCTTCTCAAGGTAAAATACCCCTAAAATGGTTTCATGGGTGTGGTTTATTGGCCTCTTATGCTTTCATACGGCCTACATCTCGAATAAACCTATTATAGTAGTTTGTTCAAATGAATGTTCTACTGAGCACGTAATCCCGATGAAGGCAGATAGTTTTTGCCTTCCCCATTTTACTTTACATTTCCTCATTTTACTTTATAATTGAGTATGTTGATCAAAGTTTTATATCAGCTTCAGGTTTAAAGATTACCCTGGGCCTATTTTAGAATAGGGATTGTGAATGACAGTGGGAAATTGACTAACATTGTTATTATTGCAGCAGGCTTAGTTGTATTTTCTTGTTCCCCAAAGCAGAAAGTATAAACATTACTTAATCCATTGTCCATTTTTACAGGAATTTTATAAGCTCTTTGTGTCAGGAACTGGGTATTTCTCCATGCATTGTACTGAATCGGGCACAACATTTGGTGCTCAACAAATAGCAATACCTCTTCATCGTGTGGATTGTCAGATAACAATGGCATCCAAACCCAAACTACAAAACAGGATGAAATACAAAGATTCTAGCAGCCACTTTCATTTAAATGAGAAATCACAAGTAGAATTAGCAATAGAATTCAAGAGTGATGACACAGAATTAAAACATCCACAGCCAACCCAAAGAAGTTGGCAACCTTTCTTCAGCAAACTTTTCCTGTGCTCTTCTTACCCAACTCCTATGACACAGTCCCAAGAAGACTCCATAACCCATTGCTCCCACTTCGACTCCTTTAGTGTTTTATACATTTCTTCTTTGAATCTCCACTTCAAAGGAACGAGCCTTCTGGTCCAGTAGGACTGTCTGGTGGTCACTTTGGTGCCCATCAAGTTCACTATTTTTTTTTAACAAGTGTCCTATTGACATGGTTTGTTCTCTTCATCTACAATTTAACCCCTCTATATTTAATCTTATAAATGAACATCCTTCTACTTATTATAGTGCTTACAGGTAGTGAACACCAAAGTAAGGTTGACATGTGCCTCCCACTGTAACCCCTCCATAACCCCCCCACTTCCTCAAACATATAGCCCTTGGGCTGAAATTGTCCATACTCGGTCTGAGTTCTGAGATGGATTTTTCACTGAAGTTTGAGAAAAATTGGTCCAGGTATCTTCAAGTTATGCAAGAGTGAAAAAAAATGGCTAAAGGTAGGAACTTCAAACTTGAATTGTTTTAATGTCCTCGGTGAGGAAAGAAAAATACTATTGGTTCAGTAATTTTTTTAAGTTATGGATATTTAAAATCAGCATTTCCTTCATAAGACAATTTCACCCTATGACATTTAGACTTCTCTAGTCATTCTTTAATCTCCAGTGTGTTAGAATTAGAGATGTATTTGTTGAGGAAGACTAAGAACTAATAAGTGAACTTGGTGTGGAAAGATATCAGTTATGCCTTCCCATCTGTGATCAGCTCCCCATGCACCCGTTTTTACATTCCCATCTGTGTTGTTCATTTGTTCCTTGATGCTGCCCTTCTTTTAGATCTCCTGCTTGGCACATCCCCTGGCTATCTTTAGCCATGCCACATTCCTGGACACTGCTCCCTACTTTTAGGAAAGTGCTGGCGCTTCTAGCCTTTTGGCAGAGGAGAAGTTGAGTTGGTATCTGCAGTAAGGGGCTCCAGTAAAGAATGGCTGAGTTAAAGAATTCTCAGGAAAGAATTCTTGATTCCTTCTTGATCCCAGTTGACTCCAATATGCAACTAAATCAGCACATATAGACCCTTCTGATTTCAGATTGTTGCAGTATGATCCATCTGGGCTCCTTTATTGTGCTAATGGTTTCTAATCACAATTGCTGAAGAACACCTATCAGTTCACTTACAAAACGTCTTGTTTGACTTCCTCAGGGTAATATGTGTTTAGCTGTACTGTGATCTTGCTGCACACTACAC